ACTCATTACATGATTAGTGAAAAGTTGGTATAACATTGTTTTTGTGCACCTCTGCCTACCCCTTTGCGGTATTAGACGTCTTATTCACACAAAGGTGTAATATCGTCTGAACATAAATGAATAACTGCGTCACTTATAAACAGTCCAAGACAAAATAAGATCAAAATGAAAACCAACCTTATACACAGAGACATAAGATTTAATTTCCTTTGTAGCTAAAACTGTAAACAAACTTGTAATCTTTTTCCTTAACAGTTGACTGTATTCAAAAGTAGACTTTATTGGCTACTAGATAAAGTTGTTATTTGCTTGAATGGTGCAAGGAATACTTCAAATTGATTTTGGAACACGACAATGATTTAATATAAAATGAACTTAAGAGTCAAGGAATAAATATCAAAATTCAATGAGTGAAGGCCAATAACCTCGAAATGATGACAAGATAAATTTTTAAATTGACATTTGGTATTGGAACACAAAGATTCAACACAATATGCACTATAACCACAAAAGATCTTAATCTTCGATTAAGATCTTTTGTGGTTATATAATTATATAATTATATAATTATATTATATAATTATAATTATATAATTATATAATTAAGATCAAACTTCGAGAATGTGAGTCAATGAACTTGAATGATTTTTAGGAATGCGTTTTTAATTTGATTTAAAATAAATAATGATTTAATGCAAAATGTATTGAGTTCTTTTCAGCATAAAGATCTTATTTGACAAGCAAAGATGAATAACCTCTAACTAGACAAATGTTAATCAGGGTCAATATTTATTAATGAAGTATAGACTCTACTTACTAATTATAAAGAGCATTTTTCAATGAGATATTCTTAGTTACATACACAAATTAATTTTCGTATGTAAATCATGTACCTACAAATAAAATGATACCACGGCCTCACAGAATACCGACGTGAAGCAACGCTTGAGTTGTGTTTCGTCGTGTAAGTGAGGTTACCGGAGGTCCAATTACCCTCCCCTTTCCCAATCTCCACAATCCCTGAATCCCCAACAATCCTCAAACTCCTAATCCCCAAAAGGCCGGTAATGCACTTGTAACTCCTCTGGTGTTCCAGGTGTCCATGGGTAACACCGATTGCTTACCATCAGGTAATCTGTCTGCTCGTTTACCAACTAATGCCAAAAAAATAAATTTTAGACTGCCAAAAATTATAAAAAGCTTTTTTTGGGGGGAAAATCATCCATTGACTTGTCCCGCTTTCAGTGAGGTGAGAGAGAGTATCAGACTCTTTAGCAATACCGTATTTTCCATAAGGGCACTCAGGGCCAGTGTCCAGGTCCCATATAATCAAGGGCCCAAAGGACCGATGATGTCTTGTACAGTACAACTTTTTTTTATTTTTTTTTATTTAATTTAATTCAGACAGGCAGTTGAAACAACTGATAAATGCCTGTATCGTATTCTTCTATCAGTGGTTAATTTGATGTTGTGTATCTGTCAAGTCTGTTTTTGAACTTGTTAACATTCTGTGCAGCGATTACATATTCTGGAAGCCTGTTCCATGCTCCGACCACGCGATTACTCAGAAAGTGTCTGTGAGGAATATTTTTCGATAAGCTTTTACACAGCTTAAGGTGGTTAACTGGTACTGGGTTAACTTGCAGCAGTTTCGATTCCTGCACGAAGCAACTCTGTGTGATCCACAAATTGTTGTTCCGTGTCTGTGTGTAATGTGTATATGAACTTGTATGTTTGTAAACGCACCCACGACACCGGAGAAAATCCTAGTGTGGGGCAACATATTATTAACCTTTATCTACTGACGTGGGTGTCTCATACACGGTGTGTTCACGAATATAAGAATTTTTTCAAAAAATGTCCTAATAATTGTATTGTAAATCAGAGTATTGTGAGTATATTGTTGTTTCGGGTCTGGGTGTCATTGTGTATGTGAACTTGTATGTTTGTAAACGAGCCCATGACACAGGAGAAAATCCTAATGTGGGACAACATTTAAAAAAAAAATTCTTTATATTCTTACTTGCATACTAAATAACTTGTAAAGCATATTATGTAGTTTGTATTACATTATAAACTTTATAATAAGTACTTAGGGTAGGCAATAATAAATTTGATTGTATAGATCACATTCACTTGTTTACTTGACTTGCACAGTTTGTTCAATTTGCAGGTATATTATAGTCAAAATATTCAACTGCAAGTACTATAACACTTGAATACAAGGCCATTAAAATCTTATTATGTATGTATAACCTAGTTTTAAGAATATAAACCACTAACTTTTTAAGAAATCCTATGAAACTATTTCAATTTTTAGCAATGTCGATTTGGGCTACGTAACACTTTATTTTTCACTGTAGATATGTTTAATTTTTAATTTTGCTAAGAAATGGTAAAAATATAACCAGAATTTTGCAATAATAATTTGATTTTGACATATAATACGACTAAATTAAACTCGGCAAAGGTTATTGTAGTTTTATACGATAGTTGAGAAGAATGCCGCTATACACCTTGTGTTTGAGGTTAATAATGCAAATTAGGTCACTCTTAAGGATTTAAGTTCGATATATTGACTATATTATGCATAAAATCATTGATAACAAGTAAAATTAATGTAATCATACCAAGAAAAAATGCGTGTCTCAAGAAAGCGGTTACACATTCAAACTGGCAGGTTTATACAAACAGACCGAGGTTTTACGTGAATAAACGAATACTTACATAAAACAGTGCACTAAAGAACTTATATTCGGCTCGCGCCGACACTTTCTTGACGTAATATCACAAAAACACCGATATTTTAGCACTTTTCTGCAAAATTCATAGAATAAACACCATGCAAAAAGGCACACACTCGCACATTGACAATCCTGAATCCACAGATAATAGAAGTTTTGAAGATGGTTATAGACAATAGTAGACTTTTGTATAGTGATGTCCAATCTTCGCAATTTTTTCAAATCATCAATTATTATTGTTAAATACTGTTATTTCTTCATCCTAGACCAATCCAGATTACACTTCATAAAATAATCTCTATTAATTTACTTATTTATTTACGTCAAGTTCAACATCCTTGATTTATGTAATAATTTATTTCGCATATATTAAAGATAAATTTTACTTATTACATACTAGCGACCCGCTCCGGCTTCGCACGGTTAGTAAACGCAATTTACATATAACCCTTCCTTAAGATTCGCTCTATCTATTAAAAAAACCGCATCAAAATCTGTTGCGTAGTTTTAAAGATCTAAGCATACATAAGGACAGACAGACGGCGGATAGCGACTTTGTTTTATATACTATGTGGTGAAGGCAGAGGTCACTAAACTTGTTTCGTCCACTTTGAAAATCTGTTATTTTGTTAACAAGATTTTTTATGTAAGTAGGTATTTGCGACAAATCTTGCTTTACATAAAAAATCCCGTTTTTGATAAGTCAACAACTTGGTCCCAGAAATACTGCAACTATTTGGGCCATCATGAAGTGACTCAAACTAATTCTACTTGTGACTCAAGGCAGCCCCGTTTGGCAACAGCCACACTGAGCTCCATTTTGTGGTGGTCCACGGCTCGTCATTGATGGCTCTTTGAGGGGCCCGCAACGTGACGCACCATACGCTTTTTATAAGTGAGAAAAATTCTTCCTTCTCCTGCTCTCTGAGCCGGAACCCCAGTAACGCGTTGAATCTTCCGCGGCTCCATGTCGGGATTCAGCCCTATTGGACCCCATCTGTGATGGTCTGATGGCTTTTTGAAGCGGTACTTACGGTGGTCCAGCCATCGTCGCGCGATCCCTGACGCTCGGAGTGTCTCCTGCGACTGATAGGGCGCGACGGCAACATTCCCTTACGTACCCTTACGTCCCTTACGGATCCCGTCTCTTTAGTTAGTATGACTTCCGCGCTATGACCTGAACCAGACCCTTGAACGTTGTGTTGCAAATTACTTCCCTGGGCCACGGCGGTGCTCAATTCATACAGCACACATGTTTTCCTGGTGGACCATGCAGTGATGACATCTGGGCATTTCCTACTGCCGAATCGCAAACAGGTACCTCCTGAAACTTCCGTGTCAGGTAAGCACCTGCGTCTGGCGCTAGGTGAGGCCGCCTTGACGTCTCTTCAGCCACTTATCAAAGAGCGGATCCATCGCTGAGGTAACATCGAGCCCGGGCCGTAGTTGCAACATTCATTGCTTTCATTTCGCCATGAGAATGCGCCGGAGTTCATCCCACCACGCACTGACCAGCGCCTTGGTGACGGGCTTCAGCGTGCAAACAAACAGTGGCCGCCCGAGAACATTCATCTTCAAGATCTCATGGAGGTTCGCCGTCTTCCCGGAGATCGAGCGACACCCACGGATCATTCGTGTAACTTTTGAGCCGAAGCCGTTACCAGTGCCCAAGTTATACAACAACTGGCCTAACCTTTTTTTATACCAAGACGGTGGCAAGAATAGCACACGGCCCACCTAATGGAAAGTGGTTACCGTGGCCTATTAACGCTTGCAACATATGGTAAGTATCTATTTTAATTAGGTGGCTAGATGTCATCGGAGGTTGGTTGGTAGTCGATTGGAAACCCGAATATTCTTCAGTCAAATATTTAGACAATAGAATATGATTAAAATACAACAAATAAATTAATGTTATAGTAAGACAATTTTCGACGAACTTTAAAATACTTATGAAAAAACTGAAGTTACCCTTAATCACTTCAGCGTCGTCAAATCAGCGGCCCGACCACCCTTAGGGTCTCCAGCGCTCACAGGGTACGTTATCATCAGTTATTTGATGATTATATTCGCTTACCACGAGCAACATAGGTACCTCCGTGCATATGTGCATCTAGAGAATTTTGAAATCTTTTCCAGCACACAATAATTTTAAATGAATGTGATACTTTTAGTCGATTATTGATTCCAACGACAAAGAATTTATTTTCACGTAGTTTTTTTCCAGTCTCATATTTTCACTGTGGTATCATTTTTAATGGCGGAAAAGCGGCAATCGTCGTCGTAGGTAGTGAATCTCTTTGAGATGCAAAAATGTCGAAAATGGATCGCCAATTGAATTCTACAAAGGATAAACAGACTATATACGAGATATATAGAGCATGTCGTTTGTGTGGAGCCGGTGCCGGCTATAAAATGCCTATAATACAAAATGTAATTGATTTAGGTGACAGCGAAGTTGAGCTTCGACAAAAAGTCCGAGAATGCGTGCAAATTGAGGTAATTATCGCTGTTTTACATTATTAAATATCAATTCGAACTTGTTAGCTACCACGCAAGATCATTTTTCATCATTCTTCACTTTAATTTGCGCATAAAAATCGAGTTATAAAATTTTTGTTTGTTGTCAAACAAATAGGAGAAAGTTGTTAAAAATATTGAATTGATTCATTGGCTGTGAAATCGTAGAAATATGGTAGAACCATCTTTAGAAAGAACGTAATACCAATTTGTCTACAATCTACTGTCGATTTCTCTTCATATTTCAATTTTAACTTAATTAAGGTTAGGTGATGTCCAAATTTTACAAGTAAACTCTGAATAATTATATTTTGCATAATAAAAGCTCCAAACCTAGTTCAAATGCAAGTAGTATACATTTAAAAACTCTTAATAACGACATGTCATTTGAAATTTCATTACAATTTAACATTCCCTTGTTTTTCAATTTCATAACTTTCATGATACATTCTAAGTTAATTATTAGTTTCAAGCCATGCTAGAGGCTCATTTATGACCAGCATTCTGCACACGACGCAACTGGCTCAGTGCTACTGAAACACTAGTATTTTTCTAAACAGTTACTTATTTTTTACTGTTTGGAAAACCTCTTTTGCCGAGTGGTCACAAGTGCGACAGCCGGGTCTCGGGTCCGATTCCCGGGGCGGGCAAAGTACTACTGGGTTTTTAAAATAATTCTCAGTAGTAATATGGAGTCTGGTATTGTGTCACCCATAAGTTATGAGTCCCATGTAATAGGTACCTGGGACGCATAACATAAATAGTGAAAAGTGGGTGTTACATTGTAAAAAGTCATTATGTGCACCTCTACCTACCGCTTCGGGGATAAAAGGCGTGATGTTATGTGTATGTTATGTTCATTAATTTGTTTATGTTTATAGGTGCACCAAGATGATAAGATGCCCCCACTGATCTGCGAGCTGTGTGTTGACAAAGTGAATGACTTCTACGAGTTCCTAGAGATGTGCCGGCAGACCAACAAACGGACAAGGTTGAGGCTTGGTCTACCTCCGCAGTCCATGCCCAAAGGAGCTGTGAGTATATTGTACTAGTTTCATACGCTCTGCTCAGCTCCTATTAGTCATAGCTTGATGTTTGTAGCCTATAGCCATCCTCGATAAATGCGCTATCCAACACAAAAATAATTATTCAAATCAGACTTGTAGTTACGGAGATTAGCGCGTTCAAACAAACAAACAAAAAAACAAACTCTTCTGCTTTATATAATAGTATAAGATAAGATTACCGTCAACAGCCTATAAGAGGCCACTGCTGAGCAAATGTCCCACTTGTTTTATTGTCTACTTGAAGTCAAGGTTACATTTGGGGACGAGTGGTCGCGAGTGCGACTGCCGGGCAAGGGGTCTCGGGTTCGATTCCCGGGTCGGGCAAAGTATTACTGGGTTTTAAAAAAAATTCTCAGTAGTAGCACGGAGTCTGGAAATGTGCCCGGTATATGGCAATAGGCTATTACATGGGACTCATAACATAAATAGTGAAAAGTGGGTGTTACTTCTGTGTGCACCTCTGCCTACCCCTTCGGGGATAAAAGGCGTGATGTTATGTTATGAGATAGATGGCGCTGTTATTCTGTTTTGTGATATCGTTGATACAAAATATAGATTAAAAATAACAGTAAGATTATCTTTATAAAGCAAATCTACTTACTTAAACTTATAAGACTCTTCATTCCACTTCCAGCCGGATGCCGGTGAATGTATCCTGGGTCTGACGGAGCCGGTGTATGTGAATGATGACTCAGATGATGGGGAGCCACTGTCCAAGCAAAAGAAGCCGACCAAAGTGAAGGTCAGGAGGGAGCCCGAGTTAAAAGTTAAGGTGTGTATTGGAATATCTTATTTTAGTCTTCTTTTTGAGGGGAGAAAAAAGACTGCACGGTTGTCGCAGTGGCTGGGCAATTGGCTGCCGCGCAACGTGTTGCGGGTTAAAACTCTTCCGCTTTATATAATAGTATATAAGATTAAAGACTTGTGGCCTTGGCGATTACAAACTTATAATTAGAAATTATAAGTCCAGGTTTCCTCACGATGTTTTCCTTCACCGTTTGTCAGTGGTGTCTATATAATCTTAGAAAGTATATAAGATATACTTAACTCGGAAAAAGTCACATTGGTACTTGCCATTGGTAGGTTTCGAGCCCGCACCCTCATGCATGAGAAGCGGGCGTCTTAAACCTCCGGGCCACCACGACTGTTAGTGCTGCTTGCTGCCTGCCTATATTAAATAAATAATAATAAATAAAATTCTAACCCATTCTCTTTCTAGTTGGAGCATACAATATTAGACGCGCGCACGACTCGATTTACGCGCCGTGCGCCCACGCCGCCGCGGACCACGAGGCAGCGACAGAACTCGAAGGAAGACACTGGACCTTTGAACCGAGCCAAGGTAAATAATATTCAATACTAGCCGACCCGGCAGACTTCGTACTGCCTACTATTTTATTCTCACCATTTTTTATGTTATAAGCCGGTAAACGAGCAGACGGATCACCTGATGGTAAGCAATCGGCGTCACCCATGGACACCTGGAACACCAGAGGCGTTACAAGTGCGTTACCGGCCTTTTGGGATTAGGAATTTGAGGATTGTTGGGGATTCAGGGATTGGGGAAAGGGGGGGGGGTCATTCAGGGATTGGGGAAAGGAGGGGGGGGGGGTGGTGGTAGTTGGGTATCCGGTAACCTCACTCACACGACGGAACACAACGCAAGCGTTGTTTCATTCATGCCGAAGCATGACACGAACGGAAATTCATTTTTATTTATATAGAAGAAGACTAGCTGATAGCAGACTTCGTACCGCCTAAATTGTTTTTCTAACCTCCTAAAGTTTAGGAGGTTCGGTCCTACCTAAACCTTTCATGAACATTTGAAGATCGAAATTAGCCAAATCGGTGCAGCCGTTTTCGGCGATTTTAGCGAGAAAAAAAATAATACATAAAGTCAGTCTAATATACATAAATACAATACAACGACACGGTTTATTAACTAAAATCGCGGGTTACTCGCGTGAATATACTGAGTAAAGCTCTACTAGTTTCGAACCACAGAGGGGTTCTTCCTCATGAGCAGCGTGCGCGGTCGCGGCGACGTCGCGCAGCTCACTGTATATTCACGTGCTCTCAGTATATTCACGTGAGTAACCCGCGATTTTACTTAATTTAGTATGTCTCACTATAGTTATTATGAAAACGAAGTATTAATTGTTTAAATTAGTAACTTAGTTTCCTCACGATGTTTTCTTTCACTGATTCGATGAATCCATGACTGCCTCGTTGACCTAGTATTTGCAAGTGCGGCTGCCGGGCAAGGGGTCTCGGGTTCGATTCCCGGGTCGGGCAAAGTATTACTGGGTTTTTAAAATTCTCAGTAGTAGCACGGAGTCTGGAAATGTGCCCGGTATATGGCAATAGGCTCACCCCCTATTACATGGGACTCATAATAGAGTGAAAAGTGGATGTTACATTGTACAGTGGCATGATGTGCACCTCTGCCTTTCCCTTCGGGGATAAAAGGCGTGATGTTATATTATGTTTTCCTTCAACGGTGTCTAAATGCTTGTTCAATGAATGAGACTAATGATAAAAACTTTTTTTTATATGAATTGAAGCATCAACATTTGTTGCAGGATTCAAAATCAAAATCTCCGAAAGGGACACCCAAGTCTATACTGAAGAGAGAATCTCAGGTAACTATGTCGTATTAATAATATAATCGCATCATCACTCCCCACCAGGCGAGATAGCGGTCAAATGTCAGTCCCATCTAAGGTAAAAAAGAAATATATATCCTCGATTGCCTCGTTGGCCGAGTAGTCGCAAATTCGGGTTCGATTCCCGGGACGGGCTAAGTATTACTGGGTTTTAACACGGAGCCTGGAAATGTGTCCGGTATGTGGCAATAGGCTCACCCCCTATTACATGGGACTCATAACATAAATAGTGAAAAGTGGGTGTTATATTGTACAGTGGCATTAAGTGCCGTAATGTGCTCCTGTGCCTACCATCCCTTTGAGGATACAAGGCGTGATGTTATGTGAATTAAAAAATTAAACTGTCCATCATAAAATCTACGATTGTTTTTCCGGGTGATTTTAAGTGGAGAGCCATACTTCGGCACAAATGTGTCGACTCGACCGAAGTGATACCTCTAAAGAAAACACGTTGGTTATTCAGTGCATACAACAGACTGACTTTATTCTCTTTAAACACAAAGACAAATAAAGGTTTAGTTCACATTACATAGACTAGATGGCGCTAGTAGGTACATTTTGATACAGTTACAACAATACCACGGCCGAGCAGAAAACTACAGTGCACGCAACGCTTTCGTTGTGTTTTGTCGTTTGAGTGAGGTTACCGCAGGCCCAATTACCACCCTAACCAATCTCCCCAATTCTCGAATCCTCATTAATCTTCAAATTCGTAATCCCCAAAAGGCCGGTAACGCACTGGTAACGCCTCTAGTGTTAAACTCCTAATCCCCAAAAGGCCGGTAACGCACTTGTAACGCCTCTGGTGTTCCTCGTGTCCATGGACGACGCCGATTGCTTACCATCAGGTGATCCGTCTGCTCGTTTACCGGCTTATACCATAAAAAATGATTGATTCACATTTCTTCTCAAAGTAGTCAGTTAGGAAATGTCGGCCTCATCGTTCGCTTGATAAAATTGACGTGTAAAAGTGCTGCCTTGTAGCCTATTTGCAGAAATAAATTCACTTGTTTCACTAGTCTATTATAACATTATTACATCTTATACTAGTCTCATATATATAATATATATATTCATATACTATTCTTAAACTATTACCTATAGAACGTTAAAGATTTTTTGTTTGTCTCTTCTCTGCTTATCCTATTTTCTTATTAAAATGTTCAATTTGGTTACAGGAGTCGCAAGAAGATGATTCGTTACTGACACCCCGTCTGAAGAGGTCCAGGGACCGAGAGCCGGTCAAATTGGATACTCCGATCAAAAAAGTCAAGTATGTATCACAATCAGTCAGTCAGTCAGTCAGTCAGTCAGTCTACAAATGACGGTACGGTTAGGACAGTTAGGACTTCCGCCTGCTCATAAAGTTTGGTTTTTGGGAAAAAATGCGGATCGGCTTGAAAATCATGATCGAAATAATTAATATAAGGAACATAGGAGACATCGTAATGTCCGTCTTTAAAATTAGCGAGTAAGCTGTCACAGCGCGAGATTCGAACCTGCACCGGTCGCAACTGCTTCAGCAACTCCGGATCTACGTTTAGTTCTTTTTTTTTTATGGGGCGACGTTTGACCACTGTCTCGCCTGGTGGTGCATGATAATGCGGTCTACGATGGAGCACGTCGTCCCATTGAACCTATTCACTCGCGCATTGAAAACTCCTAGGTCGGATGGACGGAGGATCGTTGGGGATTCAGGAATTGTGGAGATTGGGGAAGGGGAGGGTAATTGGACCTCCGGTAACCTCACTCACACGACGAAACACAACGCAAGCTTCACGTCGGTTTTCTGCTCGGCCGTGGTATCACTCCGGTCAAGCCGGCCCATTCGTGCCGAAGCATGACTCTCCCACACTTAATCCCCAAAAGACCGGTAACGCACTTGTAACGCCTCTGGTGTTCCAGGTGTCCATGGGCGACACCGATTGCTTACCATCAGGTGATCCGTCTGCTCGATTACCGGCTTATGCCATAAAAAAACCGATTTCGCTAATTTTGTTTTTGAAATGTTCGTGGAAGTATAGGGAATGTTGAACCTGTTGATATATCGTTGCCTAAATTTGTTGATACAAAAGTAGTTTAGAGCTTTTACCTGTGATTGCTTGGGGATTGAGCAGTAAGGTAAGAAAGTGTTAGACGATACGAAGCTTACCAGGTCAGCTAGTAACATTTAAATATATTTTACTACCGACCTGCCCCGGTTTCGCACGGGTGCAATATGCATGTATTATACATACAAACCATCCTTAAGAATCACTCTATCTATTAAAAAAAACCGCATCAAAATCCGTTGCATAGTTTTAAACATCTAAGCATACCTACATAGGGACAGACAGACGACGGATAGCGATTTTGTTTTATACTATGTAGTGATAACAAAGTTATTAAACCAATATTTATTTATTTATTTACTTAGTCTTTTATGTACACAATTTGATTAAAATGGGACATAAGGCGAACTTAATGCCATATGGCGTTCACTACCAGTCAACCTTAGGGTTTTAGTAGGTCGCGGAGAACCTAACGGGTAACCGGGGCTCCGGCTCGACGTGCAGGAGAAGGAACGGGGTGGTTTTTAGTCAGTAAGAGTCTGACACTCCCTCCCGCCTCACCCTGGCGGGAGCAGTCATTCGATGATTTTCCCCCCTT